ATGATTAACAGTGAGCATTTATTATTTAACATGTCGAAGGCTTTGGACTCAAAACCCACAATGCATCTTTTCATTTCATCTTCACACTATATGAAGGCAGGGGCTATCTTTAGAGGTGAGGAGAGAGAAGATTAGATTGATTTAAATGATTTGTCTAAGGTCAAATGGATAAGTAGTGGAACTGCAACTTGTCTAACTCAAAAGTGCATGCTCTTAACCTCGGCTGTTCTGCCCCATGGCGATGTTCATCTGAGTGCTTTTCTAAAATGATGAAGAATTACAATCAGCTTATGTATACAAGAATAGGGGACTGATTAACAAGTTATATCTACACAATATGTGCCTAAGAAAATCACACTCTAGAAGAACTTATATAAACATGGGAACATAGACACTCTACAGTGTTATATGAAGAAAATCCATTAAAATGTTTGTAACAAAAAAAAATGTTTGTAACATACAGTGTGACCCATTTTGTCAATACAGTAATATAGTATATTGATTATATTACTATATTGTCCCATAAAATACAATATTAAAAATGGATGATATAAAATGATCTGATTTCACAGAATAAAGTAGCTAGCAAAGATTGTGACTGGTTTGCAGGACTCTTATTTTCTTTAAGCTTTTTATTTTCTTCAAACTTTCTACAATGAACCCTCTAAGTTTTAATTTAAAAAAACACAATTATTTAAAATAGAGAAAGGAAGAGACACAGACATGCACAGAACAGGCACTTTCCAATGACTGAAGACCTTTGTTATTAGGAGAAAGAGAGTAAGGGTTCTCCTGGAACCACACTGTATTTGCCATGAGGAATCCAACAAGCTTCCCTAAGGAGCCCTAACCAGTAAAACAGACATTCTCAAAGCACTGGCTCTTATATTCCTCTTCCAACCTACAGTCCCCTGGTGCTTTAAAAAATAAACATGTGATTAAAGTTAGGCTCTGGTTTTAATTCTAAGTCATTCTTTCAACAATCAAAACACGCTATTCAACTTTCGAGAGCCTCAGACAACAAATAAACCAGATCCTACACAGTGCCTCGCATGTAACAGGGCATCCAAAGAATATACAATAATGGATGAGTGAACGAGAGGTTCCTAATACCAGCCAACTCAGGGAAAGGGTTTGGAGCCCAGGAGCCAATTTATTTTATACTCTTGCTTAGCCCAGACTTGTATCAGTACCAAGAACTGTTGAAAACCTCATACGCACAAAAGAGAAGGGAGTCAGAGCTGTGTCTGGGGCGCTGCCTAACAGGTGCTTCTTTAATCACAAGATTCAGAATCAACTGGTAGGGAGAATCACAGATCCCTATCTCAACACTAGGTTAGATCTTACTCTCTGGTCATCTCTCAGCTCTGGTTGGATCTCAGTCTGGATTCCAGTCTATTTGTAATGCCCTCCTGGCAGAGGCATCTAGCCCTGTGACTTTCAGCCTCTGGTTGTTACTTTGTCATGACATTTCTCAGATGTTCATGATTATTTTCTCTATCCCTAGGAAAACTGAAGAAGAGAACAATACAAATATCTTGTCTGAGGGCCACCAAGCGAAGTTATAAAAACAAGCTCCTTTCAAAACCACTCTTGCACAGCATAACTGAGCTAAGGTGGTTCTTTTTTAGATTAGCAAAGTATTCTAAAATGTCATAGTTCTTTTCACTCGTGTCACCTTACATAATCATCTGTTGTCTCTGAAATCTTTCAGCCCTTTCCGCTCCCCTACATCCACTTGATTACAAAATTGTTGATTCTCTCTCTCTCCAATCATTTTGAGCCTATCCTTTCATTCTTGACCTCAGACCAGCTATTTGGTTCAGCCCTCTCTGGGATTGGCTCTGCCCAATCTATTGTAACTGTCTTTTTCCTCCACGTCTTTCCATGATCAAAGATATGTTCCACATTGGTGCTGGGTCATTCCCAAGATCTAGATTCTGGTCTTGTCATACCTGTGGGGGACACACTTCTTTTATCTACCAGCACCCATTATTTTGGAATTATTTCCTACATCATTCTATCAGTAATTCTGCTCAGTCCACAGTGTTCCAAGCACTAACCCCTCCCTATCCCATCCCTTTACCCCCATTCTTCTAAATCCCCAGAGACAGGCACAAAATTCAGTCCATCTGCTGAGGACCACATGATTGGCCCCAAATTAAGAAATGAGTCATGTGAATGGCCTCATGCTGGCCAATCACTGTCCTCCCTGGGGCCTTCTGCCAAAACTGTCAAGAAATATACTTTCTTCTCAGTGCTGCAACTCTAAGAACAGTTGAGGCTAGACCTATCTGGATCACTCCCACAGAGAATAAAGTCAATACCAAGACCAGCAGAGGTCACAGAAAATGAGAAGCTAAAAGAAAGAAAAGGAAAAGACTCCTACCAAAGATGTCACTGGAGTCCTTAAACCCTGCCATGCTTTCGTCATCTTGGATTTACCAGCTATTTGGCAAATAAATGCCATTTTTCTTCTTAGAATCTATTTTAATTGCCTTCTTGACACTTTCATGTGCAGAAGATTCAAAATGTATTTTTAGAACTTTCAATAGCTTATTTTATAAAACAAAAAAATCCCAAACTACTCAGCCCAATATTCAAGTTCTTCAATACAAAAACCACCTTAGCTTTTCAGCCTTAGCTCTCCTGTCCCAGCCTCAAGTAGTTCTTACAGATGTTAAAATAATAACAATCATAGAATCGATACCCTCTGCTATTGTCACCAGGCACCCTGGTTTCATTCCTCCATGCCATTGCTCAGAATAGTATTGGAATTATTTAGTATTGGAATTGATAGAATTGGAATTATTCTATTCTCTCCTTTACCATTCAGCCTTCTAGATCCTGCTCATATTAAGTGCTAACATCCTAATTTTGCATTATAGCTTCCCATGCATGCATATCTTGTCCCATAAGGATGCTGCATGAAACCAGTTCTTTCTAAAGCTTAATCTCTAGCACCTAAAAATCTGCTCCAGAAAGCAGACACTCTGCACAGAGGTTTGCAGCTCTGGGTCAGAAATGAAAGACTGAGGGTTGATACCTGTTAGACTCTTAATTCCTCCTTATATTAGATTTCTCAAAAATCAGCCACATCACCATAGAACTCAACAATCACACTCCTGTGCATTTATCCCAGAAGAACAAATTTGTGTTCGCATGGAGGCCTGTACACAAACATTGACAGCACCTTCATTCATAATACCTCAAACTGGGAACAACCCTGATGTCCTCCAACAGGTGACTGGCTAACCTGTGGTATATCCACACAATGGAACACTATCAGTATAAAATAACAAACTATTGTTATATGCAACAATTTGAATAATCTTTGAATTATAATGACTGAAAAAGAAAGCCAACCTCCCAAATAACCTATTACATAATCCCATTTATGTAACAATCTTGAAATGGCAAAATTAAAGAAATTAAGAAAAAAACCCCAACAGATTACTGGTTGCCAGAAGCTAGGGATGAGGAACAAAGTGGAAGTGAGGCAGACTGGCGTGGCCTGGAGTAGTGGGTACACCTGTAATCCAAGTTACTCAGGAGGCTGAAGCAGGAGGATCACAAGTTCCAGATCAACCTCAGCCATTCAGAAAAACTTTGTCTCAAAATAAGCACAAAATTGTCCAGAGATGTAGTTTAGTGGTAAAGGGCCCCTAGGTTCCATCCCCTATACCACACACACATAAAAAAGGCACCACAAAGGACCCTCATGGTGATGGAAATGCTCTGCATCTTGACTGTATTAACATCAATATCCTAATTGGGATACTGAAAAAAAACTTTATAGGCTGTTATCATTGGAGAAAACTGAATAAAGGATATATAGAATCCCTCTGTGCCATTTCTTACAACTACCTATGGATCTACAATTTCTCAAAATAAAAACCCAATTAAAAAAAAATCTGGGCTGGGGCTGTAGCTCAGTGGCAGAGCACTTGCCTAGCACATGAGAGGCCCTGGGTTTGACCCTTAGCATCACATAAAAATAAATAAAATAAAGGAATTCTGTTCATCTACAACTACAAGAAAGAATTAAAAAAAATAACAACTAACCATAACCATATCTCCAATCTGAATTGAAAAACAAGACACTCAGTGCTGGGAAAACTCACAAAAAATAACAATTCCAAACAGCAGATCTTATAGCAATACCATAGTGTTTTGAAAGCCATTTTCAAGATTGAGGATGGCAAAAGAAATGACAAATACTAACAAGAGACTTTCTTTGCCCAGAACACTGAGCTGGAACCCCGTGCGATAGTCCATCTTCACAAGTGCATGGATGGGCTTCCGTGGAAATGAATAACACCCACTGATCTGTGAAATTTGATCTGTTTGCCATTTAGATCCATGTGACTCACTGAGGCTGGCTGCACTCATGTCTAAAAATACAGGAAATCTGCAGCCTAAGCAAATTTGACTCAGGGGTTCATGGGTTTTGATTCAAATACTGCACATTTGGAGACATGGTTTTATATTTATATCAGCCGTGGCAAAGAAGGTCCTGCTACTCAAGTGACTGGGACTAAGTTAAAATCTAGAAGTGAAGAGGATCAGAAGATTTATCTGTGTATGTACATTTTATCTGAGAGTTATATGACACCCTCAGTAATAGGAACGTGAGCTCTGAGGTCCTCTGTGGGCTAGAAGGATGCCCTTCCTTGGGCATTGGGTGTGTCCCACTAAATACCTGCCTCCAATGAGGACAAAGGGAGTCATGAGCTATTAAATAGATAGAGTTGGGTGTGGTGGTCACATGAGTGATCAAGTGCCACTTGGACTAGCAGTGGCTGAGTCTGAAGGGAGGGTGTGGTGCTTTGGACTGGGCACTTTTTATTTTGTCCACTCAGAACCTTTCCCGGTTGTGCCCACTGTCATGACAACTGGTGAATGGAGCAGCAGATTTCTGGGCATTGACTCTTGGGATACCCTAATTCCTTCCCCACCGTACTCAGGGACCTGATGAGGTTTCAGAGTGCTGGACTTACCCATAAGAACGCTCAGCAACTTCTGCACTCTGGAGTTGACCCCCACGATTCGGTACAGCCCTTGCTCATTGATCCCTGAGACGAGAAAGAGTGACGATTTAATTAGAGGCATGTCAGAACACTAGTCAGGCCAACCTGGCCAAATGCTCTTCTTTCTCATTTTCTCAGTCCTTCTAAAAGCTGCTCTAATTAAAGTCCCCTGTCACTCAGCTCAGCTCTTAGCAAAGGAGTGGGATTTGGTACAGCTGTCTAGGATTTCACGGGTGTGCTGCACACTTCAGCCTTCGTGTTAGCTCAGTCATCAGAGGGGAAAGAAACTTTCCTCTTCTCTTGCCAAAGGGAACATCTGAGGAGTTTTTAAAAAGATGCAAAATGTATTCTTTTAAAGATGTTATACTTAACTAATTTTTGAATTTAAAAAGTCAAAAGTGCCATGATAAAAAAATTCATACAATAGGAATGAGCAAATACTTCATAATCTATTTTTACACAGAGAATGAAAATATTGGGGAAAAGGGGAAGGTGAGGAAGGAATGGGGCATAGGAGTAGGAAAGATGGTAGAATGCCATGGTAATCATTATCCTAAGTACATATAAGAAGACATGAAGGATGTGACTACTTTGTGTACAAAAAATTGTGTTCTATATGTGTAATACAAATTGTAATGCATTCTGTTGTCATATATAGCAAATCAAAATTTAAAAAAATAAAAATAAAAAATCAGCTCACAAAAAAATAGAAAATATTGGGGTATAAGGACATTTTTAATTTTATAGAATGTTATCCAAGATGGAGAAATTAGAAAATCCATTCATTTGTAATATAAATATTCTTAATAAAGAAAAAGGAAGGTGACTTTCATCAAATCCAAGGAACTGTGCAGTTAGACTAGAAGGAGTTTACTTTCCAACACCTGAATGAAGAATCACAAAATACCCCACTGCAATACTTCTGTTCATTTCAATGTATGGATTAAATCGCCCACTGCACCATTTCCAAAATGAGGCCACTCAGACCAAGTGATTTGAAAAGATTTTTCTCCTTTTATCCAAGGCCCATCATACCAGATACTTTTCAAGTAACCGGTATCCTCCTTTGTATCTCATCCCACTGATGTCCATTCTCCAAACAAAATGAACTTCAAGTATATATCAGCTCATGTCACTTATTCTCTTAAAACTTTCCAGTGGGTTCCCATTGCGCACAGACCATAATCAAAACTCCTTTGGTGGCCTACAATGCCTTCACAGCTGAACCCACCCACCTCCCCCTGTACCTAAACTAACACATCAGCTACACTAATCTCAAAGCTTCACACAACTCATTTCTTCTATGTAGCTCACTCTTCTTCCAGATCTTTCCATCATTCAGTTCTCAGCTTAAATGCAAATTCTCCAATCTAATGCACCAATAGCCAACACTCCTGGTCATTTCCTTACTTTGTTTTCTTTATAGTAATTAACAATATTTGAAATTCTCTTTTTCCTGAAAAATAATGCCTATTTGGAGATAGTAGTTTTATGTGTATATAAATTCAGGAAAGGGCTGATTCTATAGCATCTTCAACAGACCTACCTAAAAGTGGGACTAATGAATAGAAGGAAATGATCAGGACTGATAGGATATCACAGCTGAAAAGAACCTGTAAAATCCATTTCAAAATCCTGCATTGTTCATGAGCTAAAAGCTCTTGCTCAAAAACAAATGATGGGGCTGGGGTTGTAGCTCTGAGATAGAGCACTTGCCTAGCATATATAGGGCACTGGGTTCGATCCTCAGTCCCACATATAAATAAATAAAGGTATTGTGTCCATCTACAACTAAAATATTATAAAAATAAAAATATTATAAAAATAATAACAAAACAAAGCAAAACAAAAATGATGGGTCTATGTTGCTCGGTGGCAGAAAATGTATTCAGTAATGTGCCAGGCTTGCAGGCTTGAAAGGCCTCAAGTGACTGTTTCTTTTATCCTTGTGTGTTCCTAGGACTTCACACAGTCCTGGCTCCCACTAGACAATTACTGATGAATCCTTGAGAGTAGGGGATGGCTTTTCATCTCTGGATCCCAGATATGTGTGTATATAAATGCACCAAACTAGGGAAACATCCACTTTCTTCACTTAGTTATACTAAAATGGCATTTAACTCACAGCATCCTTATTTCTACTTTGTGCTAAATGAAAACTTGTTTGGAACTTAAAAACATAATTCTCATTCTCATTTTGGAGACAGCAGGGGACAAGGAAGCAAAGACTAAGAAGCCAAACCAACTTGTGACCCTTCTCTTCTCCTACTTACTGTATATATTTTCTAGTTGTATATCAGACTAAAAAAAAAAAAAAAAAGTTGTCCTCCCGAGATACAGTAGTTTTGCATTTATTACAGACTTAGTGAACAGTTTTATACGATTAGGTTTCCCTGTTGGTTCTGGATACTGAAAGTAGACAAACAGGTGGCCCATCTTAGGTGAGTATATGAATCCATTCAGGGGAGGGTTACTTTGGATTCAAGTTTGATTCCATTTACATGCTTCTACTTCTGTTAACCCTGTACTCCTCATTTAAATTTTTTTTGTTTCAAATGAAACTCAAGTTTGCACTTGTTTGGAAAACTATCCTAACAATATCAATTTGTTGGAAAATTATATTAACAATATAAATCTCAAAAATATTTATAGACTACAATTAAGGCCAAGAGATAAATCAAAGAAGAGAGTAAAAAACAGCAGAGAAAGTCACTGATAACAATGATACTGGGCAAAAGTATATACCCTTGCCTTGCTAGTCCCAGAATGGGCTCAGACTAGACAGCTGTTTTGTAACTTCCATTTTTCACTTAATGTATATAATTAAGAAAGACTGGATATTGGAAAATGTATTTTCACTACACTTTTAGTGATTTATATTTATGGCCCTGCTGTAAAAGACAGAATGTCTTTCAAACAAATAAAAAGGACTAGTAGGTAGAGAGGCTGTACAATAAATAAAAATCGCATCTCTAACAATAACTCAAATCAAATCCTATAGAAAGATGGCTAATACCTTTTCTCAGAGCACAACAGATGGGTGTACTCAAAGCTCCACACTGCCAGAATGGAGGACTCTCATTTGTGGCAGTCTCTCAGGAGAGGATGGAGACTACAGGGGTGATCTAGCCTCCCTGATCTCAAGTGTCCTACTCTGGTGGACCCAGGAAAGGTGTGCGGCAGGGGCCTGATCCCTTCTCTGTACCTGATGGTCCTGGGAACTCACTGCCAAGATCAGAGGTCCTTAGCCTAGAGCCCACAGACATTCACTGGAAATAATTCAGAGACCTATGAATTAGGAAAATCATTACATCTTTATTTTCACTAAAGCTATAACTGACATTACACATTTCCTTCCATTATGAATGTGAAGTCACAGTAGCACTCAATACCTGCAACTTGGTCAGAAATCAGGTATTTTCATAACATATAACAATTGTTACAAACATCCTGAACTATCACTACTTTCAGATTATGGCAGTCATCAGAACTACCACTATAACTTGTGAAAAGAATATCATTAACAAAGAAATGTATTTATAACCAAGTCATAACTATGTTTTTAAGTATTTTAGTAACTGAATTTCAGTAACTGATTTCTATAAGCCTATGTGTTTTATATACATTTAAAACATTCATCTGATCTGTCAAAATCGATGACACAAATGGGTTGAGAACCTCTGCCTCAGACCCAAGTAGCTTGTGGAAACACTGACACTGGCACTAGGAGAGTTAATGAGTCACTCAGGAAACAGCAGGTAGCAACCAGATGCGTGACCTTCCATGAGAACAATGCCATCTGTTAGACTACTTTACCTCTGGTTTCCACAGCATGGATGCATTTCCTGATTATGCTGAAGCCAATGCTGTCCAACTGTGCAGCTGAAAGAGCAAGAGAAGGGCAGTCAAGTTGTGGCCTTGCAAATCACCCTCAGGGTATGACCTGACCAAGCCACCATGAGTCAATCAAACACAGGGTGTGGCCAAGTATGCTTTTAATTTTTCCCATAGAAATTATAAATAAAAAATAAGCTGGGTGCCCTGGCAAACACCTGTAATCCCAGTGGCTAGGGAGGCTGAGGCAGGAGGATCACGAGTTCAAAGCCAACCTCAGCAACAATAAGGCGCTAAAGAAACTCAGTGAGATCCTGTCTCTAAATAAATACAAAATAGGGCTGGGGATGTGACTCAGTGGTTGAGAACCCCTGAGTTCAATCCTCAGTACCCCTCCAAAAAAATTAATAAATAAATATAAAATAATAGTAAAAATAACTGGTATCAATGGAGAATTTACCGTAGACCAGGTAAGTGTTAAACGCTTTGTATGCATTTTCTTATTTAGTTCTTAAGTAAAAGTAATCTGCAACATTATCCTTAATTTATAGCTGAAAAAACTATAGCACAGAGTGATAGGCACCTTGAAACAGGACTAACTTGCTTGCAGTCTCAAAAAAGCAAAAATGAAGTGATCTTTAAATGGTGGGTAAGTACTTTACACCGCTTCTCTCATTTAACAAGACCTCCAGGATGATACTATCATTAGCCCCATATCACAGATGAAGAAACTGAGGCTTGGTAAAGACAAATATCTTGCCCGGTTAATATGTGGAGACTTGCTTCAGTGTCCATATCACCAAGTTGCCTTAAATGTGACACCAAGAAAGTATAATCCTGTTCAGGTGAGTAGGAAAAAGGGAAAAATGAACAAAAAAAAAAAGAAAAATAATAGAGAAAATTAACACAGCCAGGAACAAAGAAGTACACGAGGAAGAAGCACTTGGGCAGCAGAGCCATCCCTCCACATGGCAAATCAGCAGGTGGTAGCAAGGTTCTCCACCTGCTTCAGCACCACTAATGCCACTCAGAAAATAAATGATCCACATCAGCAAATTTTTCCAGAACAACAAACTGGTTTCTAACCTGGCACTGAAGAAGCTGGAAATCTACCAAAACTCATCCCCAGGCTTTGGTTACCCAGTGATAAAATGTACAAACTTTAAGAATGGGTTCATCTTTAACCTCACTGGGATATTAGCACAAGATATTCTATAGTTCGCTGCTCAACGTGAAGAAAGAAGGGGTAGAGAATAGGAATAGGAATAGGATGGTGAGTATTAATAAAAGATTTGTGATCATCTATGGCAAGAAATAAACTAGTCATCCATGAGAACTAAGCAGAACCTGAACTCATCTTGGATCTTCTCCAAATGAAATCCTGCTCCAATTCTTAGTATATATGGGTAAACTTAGATCTAACTAAGATTTTTAAAAATCTTTTTCCCGGGCATGGTGGTGCACACATGAAATCCCAGCAATTCAGGAGGCTGAGGCAGGAGGATCTCAAGTTCAAGGTCAGCCTGGGCAACTTAGTAAAACCCTGGCTCAAAATAAAAAAAATATTAAAGAGTAAGGGGATGTAGCTCACTGGTAAAGGGCCCCTGGATTTAATCCCCAGTGTGGAAAAAAAATTAATCACCAAGAATATCCAAATATCAAATGAAAAAGAAATGTTAATTTCCCTAAACTTCTCTTCCCAAAGTGAAACAGCTCCTGTAATTTCAGTCACATTTACTGCTAAGTGGTACTTATAAATACACCCAGCCTCTAGGATGAGTAAAGAACCAGAAGAAACCAGGTAAATCATGTTCTTTTCCCCTGAAAATTACCAGCTATAAAAATTATTCTTCTTATTCCCTTAAGTAAGGAGCCTACTAACTCAATCCCTTGTGGGGTTTTTTTTTTTTGTATGAACCAAGTATTTGCTCTGCAAATAGTGATATCTCAAGCTTTCTGACTGAAGGCTGCAAGCCAGACTGATACAATTCTTCCAAGTGAAACTCTATTCACTCATACAACAGACATTTTTCAAACTTAGGGACAACCTTTAATGCACAGATTAAACACCTGTTGGAATCTGGGGGTGAATTTTTTTTGTTTTAAAATAGTGTTTATTAAGAATGACACTTAAGAACATCATGCTAAATGGAATAAGCCAAACTCAGAAAGTCTAGGATCATATTTTTTTCTCTCATATGTTTCATTTTGGGAAGAGAAGTTTGGAGAACTTAACATTTTTCCTCTTAGAGAAAGAATATGTGTGCAAGGTGCGGGGAGGGTGTCTCATGAAAACAGAAGGGAGGTGAGGAGAGGAGAGGAAAGGGTGCACAGAGGAAGAGGAGCAAGGGGAGACAGGGGGAGTGAAACTGACAGAATTCTGCTATGTGCACGCGTGAGTACGTAACAAAAGACCCCACTAGTATGTACAATTTAAAATTCACCAATAAAAAGGAAAATAAGTTTTAAGATATAATTCACATACCATAAAGTCCACCCATTTTAAGAGTATAGTTCAGCTATTTCTCATACTTACAAAGCTGTGCATTCATCACTACATTTTTGTCCCCCATAAGAATAAATAAATGTGAGCACAGACATCAACAGCCACCATTGCTGGCAATGACTAATCTACCTGGCTTCTGTACCTGGCTTCTCTACCTACCTGCTCTGTACACTCCACATAGATGGAATCAACAAATATGTGGTCTTTTACACCTGGTTTCTTTCATTGAATGTTTTCAAGCTTATCCATGCTGCAGCAGCAGTACTTCATTCCTTTAGAATTAATTCCATTGTAGCAGATACCACATTTTGTTCATCCATTCATCAAATGATAGACATTTGGGTTGTTTCCACTTTGGGGCTATTATAAATAATGGTGTTATGAATAACTGTATACAAGTCTGGGTGGACATGTATTTTCATTTCTCTTGTGTATACACTTATGAGTGGAATTGCTGGATCATAGGACTATGCTTTTCTCCTCCTTTTTGAAATGTCTTGATTTTTTATTGGTGCATTACAATTATACATAGTAGTGGGATTTATTACTACATATTTGTATATGCACAAGATATAAAAATATACTTTGGTCAATTCCATTCTCAGCACCTCCCCTTATCCCTCTTCTCTTCCCTCCCCATAGTCCCCTTTTGCTATTCTACTGGCCTATGTTTTTTATTGAAACTGTCAAATTGTCTTCTAAAGCAGTGCACCATTTTACATTCCTACCAGCAATGCAAGAGGGTTCCAATTTCTCCACATCCTTGCCAACATTTGTTATTGTCTTTTTTATTATAGCCATCCTAGTGGGTGTCAGAGTTATCTCCTTGTGGTTTTGATTTGCATTTCCCTGATGACTAATGTTGCTGGGCATCTTTTCATATGCAGGGGAGGATTTTCATTCCTTTATACAGTAGTCAGAATACAGCTTACTGGAAAGTATTTGTCAGACAGGGAGTTACTTTTTGTGCTTAAAGAGATTTCCAAAATGTTTATAACTGTGATTCAATAGTCCTTCAGTTCTTCTTTTGCAGAATGGCTCAAAGAATCTTTTCACAGAGATGACAGTCAAAGAATTATGGAGAAATAACCGCCATCTTGCACCGTGCTCTAGGGAGCGGCCAAAACTAGATTAGGTGTGTGAACTTGTTCTTATTCTAGGCTTTGGTGAGTTTTGTCCTAGACAAAGTCTACTTCCCTCCCCCATAAACTCTGATAAAAGGTTTGGACAATTAAAAAGAACTTGGCAACTGACAGAGAGGCTTCAGTGGTCAGAAGATGAGACATCTACCTAACTAGAGGAAAACCTAGACAGAATTGGACATAACCCTCTGGAGGCAAATCAGTCCTTGGGCTCTTTTTGTGGCACTGTGGGAAGTGAGATCCCTTTCTAATAGGTGATACCTAGTGGACAAGAATAAAATGGTACCTTCCAAATATATCCAGGAAAAAAAATTAAAATTCCACCCACCTCCATTAATTATAATGACTTATTTTGGAAAACGGCAAAGCAAAAGCCCTGCACTCAATATCGGAGGAATGTTCCTTCTTTGGTTTTTCTAATGTGAGAATCTCTCCAACTTGTTATCATCAGCAAATTCCCTTTCCACAGACGTTATACATAAAGACCTTACACTTTACACATGTAGTGCAATATTTATTAGTATATCTTAGTTGTCTAAGTTTAAATGTAGAGCATTTACAAATTACAAATCCAAATGCTGAGGGCTCAAAGTAACTCTCTGTTAGACTTTAGTGTATTAAAGTTGTATATTGATGATAATTATTTATAGTTTTGTAAACAGATAAAAGTGTGTTAAAATGGAATTGACTTCAACAACAGTTGCCCTAACAAGGAACTCATGAAATACAGTTTAGCAATCATTGCTCTCAATCTCTAAATTAAATGTGGTACAAGTTATGACATTGCCCATACTGTCCCAGCACCTTTCCATCTCTCTTTTTCCCCCACCCCCACAGTGACTTTCTTGCTGACATCATGATAACTAATAGTTAACATCAGGTAACTAATAATTAACAACGGCTTTATTATTTAACATAGACCAAGTACCACTAATGTGACAGGGACAACAGTGCACACGTAACCAGATCATTAGTCCTGATCACTGCCTTGTGGGTGCATAATCTGTTAATTGAGATCTCCTAGTCTGAAAAGTGAATTCCCACTAAAAGGTTTAGAACACTGTCACCACCAAGCAGTTTGCAAATGACAGAGAAAGTGGCCTGCCAGATGGAAGCGGCTGTCCTTAATCCCCTCAAGCAGGTGATTCAGCTTTTTCACTGAGCCAAGGCTCAGAAAAGGTCAGAGATTTATTTGCAATTTCTGTATCCTTATAATCTCCAGAAATAATCTCTCATTAAATATCTACTAGGCTTGCATTATTCCCTTAATTTGACTTGCGATGAGTTGCCTCAGGATCTGTGGATCCCAGGCCTGACAGCCCCCACCTTGCAGTTAATTCTTGGACTGGCTTCTCTTTCCCCTTGGGCTCCAGTTCAGGTCTGCCCAGTTTTACACTCAG